AGGGACATGTTTGGGAGAGTGGAGAGGCAGCACAGGAGAGGAAGACCCTCGATGAGATAGATCGATTCTGTGATTGGAGTGGTGGGAGTGAGTGTGTTTGAGACAGTGAGGTTGGCACAAGATAGAACGGCGTTTAGGGCTCTTGTACATAGGGTCGCTATGAGACGCAAACGACAGGACGGCACATAACAGCAACAACATGCAACAATCTAAGGAGAAATTATGAATGTTTCCTTGAGATGTCAAGGAGAAGACAAATTGACTGAAGGAAACAGAATCCTCTCAAGTGGCTTCACGCAGTAGCCTGGTTCCCTACCAGAAGGGGTAAGCCTTTTATGTAAGCCTTTTGAATACAAAGTGGGTGCATCAACACTTGCTGTGAAAGTGACTGCTCACACAAACCACCTGAACTGAGCAAACAGGTCATGTCTGTCCAGGGGAAATGAGAGGCAACGTGTGGTTTGTGATTGATGAACCATATCATTTCAGAAGGTTCTCGCCTCGCAGAGATTCTGTTTGCACAAACACCAAGGACTAAGTTTCCCTGGAAGTTGATTCGGGGACAATGTGTCTGCACAGAGGTGCCCCATGCACAGATGAACGCTAAGGTGAAGTGGGGGGTCTTTCCTCTGTGAGGAAACTTTGTCACCACTGCTACCACAGTGAAGTCTTCCTGCAATTATTGAAGTAATTCACTGACTATGAGAAATGGGAAGGACCTTGAGCTTGACCTCAGAATGGAGTTTGAACATTAGCTCACTGTGTGACCTAGAGATCATGTGAGCCTCTCAGGAACGTTATTATTCCTGTATTGATCAGCACATAAAAAACTGTTCATGCCTGACTCAAATGATAAAATACAACTAACTGGCACACCTCTTAGTTGGATTTGCGCAAACTTCCCCAACCAAGGCTATGTAATAACAACAGTACCTACTATTCATAAGGTCAGGTGGGGTCAGCACCACTGTTCTTACAATAATGTATTCATTTTCACTCTAATAAAATGCAAAGTCTAAGCTCAACAGGCCCTGCTTACATTATAGAGGAGGATAAGCAGGATGAAATGACTCCAACACTGTGGTAAACTTGCATGGATAAGATGTAAGGATATGGCGATAGACATGGAGATGGAAAGAGACACAGACAAAAATGGAGATATATCAGGATCTTCGCTTCTTTATTAATTACTCTCCTCACCATTCTTGGCATAGCCTTTGCATTAAAGACTGTCTCCAAGACTTATCTGTTTGCTCTTCTGGTCACCCACGGGATATTCAGTACACTTCTCCAACACCACAGTTCAAAAGCATCAGTTGTTCTTCTGTCATCCTTACTCACTGTCCAGCTCTCAGATGCACAGCAAGTGACTGAAAGACCATGGCCTGAATCAGGCGAACCTTAGCCCTCAAACCAGCATCATTATTCCTCAATGATTTGGAGAGGTCCTTGAGTACAGATTTTCCCAGTGCAGCACGTCTTCTAGTCTCCCGACTGCTGGTACCAAGTTTAATGATTGTGGATCCAAGTGCGATTAAGTCATTGACAGCATCAATTCTTTCCCATCCGTCATGATGTCGTCTATTGGTCCAGTGGTGAGGATTTTTGTTTTCTTGACATTGAGAAGCAATCTGTTTTGAAGCCTGCAGTGTTTAACCTTCTGCAGCAAGTGCTTCAAGTCTTCCTCACTTGCAGAAAGCAAGGTTATGTCATCTGCATAACGAAGATTATTAATGCGTCTTCCTCCAATCCTGATACATTTTTCTTCATAGAGTTCAATTTCTCAAATAATTTGCTCAGCATACAGATTAAATAGGTATATAGAAAGGATACAACCCTGACACACACCTTTCCTAATTTTAAACCATGCCGTGTTTCCTTGCTCTGGGCTAGTGGGGAAGATTTTCATTTTCTTCCCCACTAGCCTCAGCATACACATTGATTAGATACAGAGAGACAATACAGCCTTCACACATATCTTTCCTGATTTTAAAGCATGTAGCAATCCCTTTTGGAAGCAAGAATGGCATCCACTTCCTAAACAACACGCCTCTGAAAACTCTGTGAACATTGATAAATGTCGATAGTTGTAAAGGGGCTTCAGGCCTTTTGTTCACAGGGTCGCTATGAGTCATGCTTGACTAGACAGCAATCAACAACGACGACGACGGCAGGGATACCTTGCTGTGTTTGGACAACAGCTTCTTGGTTTAGGGTTAGGTTTCATAAGAGTGTAATTATATGTTCTTGATATTCCCATTCTCCTCTATGTTAGCCATAATTTTTTATGATACACACAATCAAAAATGCCTTTGCACAGTCAATAAAGGATAAATAGATATTCTTCTTGGTATTCTCAGCTTTTTAGCCAGGATTCATCTGATGTTCCCAATGACGTTGCCCTGGTCTCCTTTAAAGGCTGAACTTCTGGCAGTTCTGTCAATGTAGAGTTCGAGCCATTTTTTTATGATCTTCAGCAATATTTTGTTTCCATGGGTTTTTAATGATATTATTCAATAATCTTCATACTCTGTTGCGTCACCTTTCTTGGGAAGGGAATAAATATGGATCTCTTCCAGTCAGCCAACCAGGAAGCTTTCTTCCAAATTTTCTGGCATAGACTGGTGAACACTGTTGAACACATCTAGGGCTGCATCTGTTATTTGAAACATGTCAATTAGTATCCAATCATTTCCTGCAGCTCTTTTTTTTTCCAATTCCTTCAGTTCAGATTGAACTTCTTTCTTCATTATTATTGGCTCTTGGCTCTTGATATGATACTTCCTGAAATATTTCTGTGTGTGGGTCAATTCTTTTGGTACAGTGACTCTTCATATTCCCACCTTTTTATTTATTATTATTATTATTTTGCATACACATCCATCTTCTTTTAATACTTCCTGGATCATTTAAGATTTTGCCCATAACATCTCTCAGTATTGCAACTCAGGCTTAAATTTGTTTTTCAGTTCTTTCAGCTCAAGAAATGCTGAGCAAATTCTCTTGTTTTTATTCTGACTCCAGGTCTCTGCACATTATGTTATAATAATTTGCTTTGTCTTCTCAAGTTGTCCTCTGAAATCTTCTATTTTGTTCTTTGACTTCAGAATCTCTTTCCTCTGTTTTTACTTTTAAAAAAATTATTTTATTAATTTTAATGAACGTTTACAGAGATTTTGAATTTCCATTCATTCATTGTTGCATTTTTCTCCCTGCCCACCCCTCCTCCCCAGTTCACTCTAGTGAGATTTTCAGAGTCTCTTCTGACATCCATCTTAGTTTTTCCTCCCACCTCTGTTTAGTGATGACCTGTTGTTGGTCATAGTCTACCTCCTAAAGCAATTGGGCATTGGCCAATTTTTTGTTACAGTGACTCTGTATTCCTTCCATCGTCTTTTGATTTTCTTTTCCTTGTTTAAATTATTTTCCCATAGAATCTTTCAATATTGCAGCTTAATGTTTGAATTTTTTCTTTAGTTCTTCCTACTTGAAGAATGTTGACAGCATTCTTCCCTTTTGGTTTTCTAACACCAGGCCTTTGCCTATTTTGTTACAACACTGAAACTCATCCACTGTGAATGGTCTAGCTGATAGCTTTCTGATCACAGCAACATGTAAGCCATTGAAGTCTGATAGAGGAGTTGTGGAAACATTGATGGGAAAGGAACTAGAGGTGGTGATGAAAGCAGTTATTTAAAGGATTCTTACACATTCCCTTCTTGCACGTATGTGTCTGGCATGCTGGGCAGCATAGTGGGAAAGGTCCAGAGCTAAGAGTGAGGTTTGTTTTTTGTCCTTCTCTACCAAGAACTAAATATATGACCTTGCAGTGACTTACACTTATTAAGTTCAGTTGCAGAACTGATCAGATAAGAGCAACGCCTTCTAGTCTAACCTCAAAGCTATGCCTGGACTTTTTATGCAATTTGTGGTATCAGAATTTGAGGAAGACTCATCAGAAACCTATGTTACACAGATTTTACAACCGTGCTTGCTCAAACTGAGGAGCACTTGAAGTGATTGCTGCAGAAAGCCAAGGACTGCATTTTTAAATGTGGATTGAAATTCAACATCAAGAAAAGAAAGATTCTCATCACTGGGCCAATTGGCAGCACAATGATAAATGAAAAAGTGATTGAAATTGTTAACAATTCCAGTTTGCTCAGCTCCACAATACTTTTTGTACCAGAAGTCAGGAAATCAAAAGACGAATTGCACTGGGGAAAATCAACTGTCAGAGAACTCTCCAGGGTACTGAGAAACAACTATGTCAGCCTAGAGCCTAAGGTACACGTGATTTAGGCCATGGTCTTCTCAATTACTTGCTATCCATCAGAGAGCTAGACAATGATTAAGGATGACTAAAGAAGAATCAATGCCTTTGAGTTGTGGTGATGGAGAAGAGTCTTGGACTTACCATTATCCTACAAGAAAACAAGTCTGTCTTTGAAAGAGTGAAACCAGGTTGCTCCTTGGAGGCTAGAATTTTGAAGCTCCATCTCACATACTTTGGGCATGTGGCTAGAAAAGACAGGTCCTTGGAGAATGACATCATGCTTGGAATGGCAGAGGGACAGCACAAGAAAGGAAGACCTCACGAGACGTATTGACATAGTAGTGAGGGCAATGGGGAGTAGGCCTGTTGGAGTCAGTGAGACTGGCTCAGGATACGGCAGGCTTCAGAGCTGTCGTACATAGGGTCACTATGAGTTGCAAGCAGCTCAATGGCACATAACAACACCAAGGCACTCATAGAGTCTTTTCCTAAGCAACTTCTAGAAGGTCTACATATAATTTTTTACTTCACAGTAGGAAAACTAGCGATCTAGACCAAACTCTCCTTGTAACAATGATCAATTAATGTGTTATTGAGAAAACTAAATCAAATCTTATTTTTACATGTTCAGTTTACAGAAAACATAAATTTTTACATGATGTCAATGTCTTAGTAATATTTAATTGTTTCATTCAAAGGTCTGCAGGGAGAAGAAAACCAATTAATGGACCTAAAAAATTATACCAGGATACAGGAATTCATTTTCTGTGGATTTGCCCAGACTCAAGAGCTGAACTTGATCTTATTTTTCTTCTTATCTGTGGTCTATGTAACAACTGTGTTAACGAACATTGCCATCATTGTCACTGTCACCTGTGAGTCTCGCCTCCACACACCCATGTATTTCTTACTCTACAACCTCTCTGTCTTGGACATCTTCTTCTCCTCCATCACTGCCCCAAAGATCCTGGTAGACCTTCTCTCCAGGACAAAGACTATTTCCTTCAATGGCTGCATCACACAGATGTTTTTCTTTCACCTCCTCGGGGGAGCAGATGTTTTTTCTCTGTCTGTGATGGCATTCGATCGTTACATGGCCATCTCCAAGCCCCTGCACTATGTGACCATCATGAGTAGGGGGCGATGCATTGCACTCATTGCAGTCTCCTGGGTGGGGGGCTTTATTCACTCTATTGCACAGATTTCCCTGTTGCTCCCACTCCCCTTCTGTGGCCCCAACATTGTTGATGGCTTCTACTGTGATGTCCCCCAGGTCCTGAAGCTCGCCTGCACTGACACCTTTGTCCTTGAGATTCTGATGATTTCCAACAATGGTCTAGTTGCTAACTTGTGGTTTGTGCTTCTCCTGGGGTCCTACACGGTCATCCTGATGATGCTGAGATCTCACACTGGGGAGGGCAGGAGGAAAGCCATCTCCACCTGCACAGCCCACATCACAGGGGTAACCCTGCATTTTGTGCCCTGCATCTATGTCTATGCCAGGCCCTTCACTGCCCTCCCCACAGACAAAACCATCTCTATCCTCTTCACCGTCATCAGCCCAGTTCTAAACCCCCTGATCTACACCCTGAGGAACCAGGAGATGAAGTCAGCCATGGGGAGACTCAAGAGAAAACTTGGATCTTTCAAAAAAGAAATAGATCCCATGAAGTCCAGACTGGAAAATCAAAACTGAAAAGACTATTTCCTACAATAGAACATCCAATACTACCTTTATCTAAAGGTAGCGTAAAGCTTTAGGCCACAGCTTACTCTTTATCCCCAAGAAGGATTCTGTTGTTGTTGTTTTTGTCTTTGTTTTATGCCATCAAGTCACTTGAGACTCATAGTAACCTTAATGTACAATAGCCCTGAAACCTGCCCTATCCTGTGCCAACTTTACCGTCTCTGACACACCTACCCCCTCCCCATCACCCTAGTCACTAAATCAATCCATCTCATCGATGGTCTTCCTCTCTTTCTCTGTCCCTCCACCCTTCCAAGTATGTCATCCCTCTCCAAGGACTGGTCCCTACTCGTAACATGTCCAAAGTATGTCAGACGAAGCCTCAGAATCCTTGCCTCCATGGAGCAGCCTGGTTTCACCCTCTCCAAGATGAATCTGTTTGTTCTCCTGGCAGTCCCTGGTATAGTCTACACTTTTCTCCAACACCACAGCTAAAAGAAGGATCCTACAATAAGATTTATTGCATTGCCTGAGATTATCCTTGCAACATTGTTGCCTTATGTGAGATTATTTGCAATTTAGAGTCTCAAGTCCACAAACTGTAAGCTATTGATGTTTCTATCGGCAGCCCTGGTGCCTCAGTGAGTAACTGGTTCTGAACCATCAGCAGCTTTGTGGGAGAAAGATGTGGCAATTGGCTTCTACTGTAAAGACCTACAGACCGAGAAACATTAAGGGGCGGTTCCACGTGGTTCTGAGGAGTCATTATGCATCAGAAGCAACTCAAGGCAACAGATTTGCGTTTGGATTTTAATGTTCCTATCACTCATACTCTTCCTTTTACAGGCATAGAAATGAAAACTAAGAGTAATAATCCTTCTGTTCCAGAATTGTATGTGTCCTTAGAAAAAAAAATTGTTAAATGACTGACTACAAACAAACAAAAAAAAAACCACTGTGTCCATTCACTCAGAGGTCCCTTGAAAGAAAGAGCTGTTGATCTAGTTCTGAAAGCTCACAATCTTAAATGCCCTGTAGAGTTCTGTTCTACTGTGTGGTGCATGAGGTTTCCATGAGTGATTAACTAGACAGCAACTGTGTTCCTGCTTGATTCTTCATTTGTAGCTTTACCTTGGCTGACCCAAACAAGACGTAATAAAAATACCCTCCAAGGGCAAGAAGACAAGAATGAAACTCCAGCCAGCTCTCCCTATGTGGAAATTGCTTTCCATTACTAATCAGGGTGATAAAGTCTTCTCTATTTTTCTAAAGAAGCCTCTGGGTTTCCATAAGAGAAGATGAGAGAGATTTCTTATTTTATTGAAGGTCTGAGAGATATAAGAGATCTGACCCTTAGTGCATGTTTTAAAAACTACTGCTCCCTCATAGAGGATTTGATAAATCTGAAACAGGTCCATACATAAAAATGTCTCCTTGGCACCAGTCAAGGAAAGCAAAAGGAAAATTGCAATAGGAAAATCTACCATCAGGAACTTCTCCAAAGTGCTAAAGAACAACAATGCCAGTCTAGAGACTAAGGTGCACCTGAATCAGGCCACCATCTTCACAATTATTTGCTATGTATCAGAGAGCTGGACAATGACCAAGGATAACAGAAGAAGAATTGATGCTTTTGAGTTGAGTTGTGGTGCTGGAGAAAAGTACTGAACATATCATGGACTGCCAAGAGAACTAACAGGTATTTCCTGGAGAGGGTGAAACCAAGCTTTTCCTTGGAGGCAAGGATTTTGAGATTTTGTCTCACACACTTTGAGCATGTATCCAGGAGGGACCGATCTTTGGAGAAGGATATCATGCTTGGAAAGGTAGAGGGATAGCACAAGAGAGGAAGACCCTGGATGAGATGGATTGACACAATAGCTGGGGTAATGAGGGTAGGTGTGTCAGAGACAGTGAGATTGCCTCAGGATAGAGCAGATTTCAGAACTATTGTGCTGCTGTGAGTTTTAGTCAACTCAATGGCCAATAACCACAACAGCATTATACTTGAGAAAAGTCCTGTGTTGTCTTTATTACCTACATTAGAAGGCTTTGGGATCTTCTATGAATTTTTACATAATTTTATAACCATTTATTTCTTGACAAAAGGAACCCTCTCCTGTCTGCATGAATAGAATGTCCTCAAGTGCACCTGATTCAGGCCATGGTCTTTTCAGTCACTCGCTAAGCATCTGAGAGCTGGACAATAAATAAGGATGACCGAAGAAGAATTGATGCCTTTGAATTGTGGTGTTGGAGAAAAATACTCAATATCACATGGATTGACAAAAGAATGAACAGATGTGTCTTGGAAAAGTTACCCCTAGAGTGCTCTTTGGAGGCAAAGATAGCGAAGCTTCATCTCTCATCCTTTGGACATGTTGTTAGGAGAGGCTATTTCTTGGGACAAGTTTATCATACTTGGGAGGGTGGAGGGTCAGTGAAAGTGGGGAAGACGCCGATCAGGATGGATAGACACAGTGACTGCAACAATGGGATCAAGTGTATCGGAGGTGATTATGATGACACAGGATGGGACAGAATTCAGATCTGTTGTTCACACCAGGAGTCACACTCAACCCGTCAGCACTTAACAACTAAAACACCATGTCTACAAGAAGCAAAGACTTGAGGAAAAGCTGGCTTTCTTTGATTAAGGGCTCAATTGTCTAGTACTTAGCAAATCATTCATTTCAGATTCTTCTTTGCAACCTGTTGACACTACCAGTTTACTCTGTTAAAGAAATAAAAAAAATTAAATTGCCATTCATCCCCTGACAACTTGTTTATTTGTCAAGTAAATATTGTAAATTGGTAATCTGTTTAATTGTAACTGAGTCTTGTTCTCGTGCAATCTGTGAAATATGCATGGCTTCCACAATGTAAGTGGCATAATGGGCTCTTTGAATGGAGTGATCTGGGAGGAAAATATGAGCAAAGAAAATCTGATCCAAAATATATCAAAAGTAGCCCATACCAGCGAACTTGGTGCTGGCCTGAAATTACTGCTCTTCAAGTATTTTTCTAATTATAGTTCATGGGGACAAACTAGACACAACATAACAACTTCACAAGTTCAACAGATACAGCTCCAGCAGGCTAAAGCAATGTGAGCATACATAATGTCAATCCTGTCTCTCTAGGACTGATATATGCACCAGAATAATGTTTACTGGTGTTTCATTGACTATGCAAAGGCATTTGACTGTGTGGATCACAACAAACTGTGGCTAACTTTCAGAAGAATAGGAATTCCAGGACACTTCATAGTTTTGTTTTGTTGTTATGTACCATCAAATTGGATCTGACTGGCACAGGAAGAGATTGCCTCTCCTTCTCCTGTGGAGGATCTGGTGGATTTGAACCACACACCTTCGGGATTGCAGCACAGCTTCTTGCCACTAGGCTACCAGAGTTCCCTCAATTGTTTGTACGAAAACCTATACTTGTACTAGGAAGCAGTCATCAAAACAGAGCAAGAAAACACTTCATGATTCAAAATCAGAAAAGGTATACATCAGGGATGTATCCTATCTCCATACCTTTTCAATCTATATGTGTAATACATCATTCAGAAAGCTGGACTTTAGGAAGAGGAATGTGGCATCAGGATTAAAAGAAGACTTATCAACAACTTGAGCTATGCAGATGACTGACACAGCCTTGCTTGCCAAACCTGAGGAGGACCTGAGACATTTTGCTGCAGAAAGTCACAGATTGTGACCTTCAATATGGATCATAACAAGAAAACAAAGATTTTCCACCACTGGGCCATTTAGCAGCCTCATGATTGATGAGAAGAGATTGAGATTCTTAACAGCTTCAGCTCTCTTGGCTCCACAATCAACACTTTTGCTACCAGTAGCCAGGAAACAAAAGACAAATTGCATTGGGAAAATCTGCTGTCAGAGAATTCTCCAGAGTGCTAAAGAGCAGCAATGTCAATCTAGAGACTAAGGTGCGCCTGATCCATGGTCTTCACAATTATTTGCTATGCTTCAGAGCGCTGGCCAATGACCAAGGATAACAGAAAAAGAATTGATGTGTTTGAATTGTAGTGCTGGAGAAGAGTACTGCCAAGAGAAATAACAGGTCTTTCCTGGAGAGAGTGAAATCAAGCTGCTCTTCGGAAGTAAGGATTTTGAGACTCCATCTCACATACTTTGGGCATGTAGCCAGGAGGGACCAGTCTTTGGAGAAAGGCATCATGTTTGGAAGGGTCGAAGGATAGCACAGGAGAGGAAGATCCCAGATGAGATGGATTGACACAATAAATGGAGTAATGAGGATAAGTGTGTGAGAGATAGTGAAATGGTAGAGCAGGGTTCAGAGCTATTGTGCATAGGGTTGCTGTGAGTTGTAGTCTACTCAATGGCACATAACAACAAACAACAGCTGATGATCTGCTCCACAGTCAGTCCCTGGTCTTGTTTTGACTGCTGATATTGAATTTCTCCTTGACTCTGACCAGTACATCTACAGGGAATTTTTTTTTTTCAAAGAGATGAAATACACTAAAATATACTAATGTGGTGGGGGAATTTCACAAATGAGGGTGACAAAACAGAAAACTGAAACAAAATCCATACTTGACATCACATACAAAAATTAACTCAAGAAAACAAATAGATCTGATTTGCAAAGGGTGAAACCAAGTTTCTCTTTGGAGGCTAGGAATTTGAAGTTCTATCTCACATACTTTGGACACACGGCCAGGAGTAACCAATCCTTGGAGAAGGACAACATGCTTGGAAGGGTGGAGTGATGGTGCAGGAGAGAGAGTCCTGGATGAGACGGACTGATATAGTAACTGAGGTAATGGGGATAGGTATGTTGGAGTCAGTGAGACTGGCTTAGGATAGGACAGGGTTCAGAGTTGTACCTAGGGTTCCCATGAGCCACAGGTGACTCGACAAACAGCACATAACAACAACAAAGGTGTGCCTTATCCATTGTGTCTGGTAATCTTTTATGTCATAAGAAAGGGCTCATAAAGTGCCTCAATTTTT